GAGAAATTTACCCTGGTGATGTTAATCCTAATCATTTCTCAAAGTTCCCACCTCTGAATACCACAGTCAGATTAAATTTCCACACTCTCAAAAACTTTATAAAGGGAATTAAATTTCAGCATGTGAACACTGAGGAGCACACTTATGCCATACTTAAACATAGCCTCATCAAATAAAATGAAAAGATGCTGAGATTACGCAAATAAATATTTATAAATACACATTGTAATCTTCAGTGACTATAGCAATTTTGTGGTATTTCATAAATATATTTTCCAGGTAGTCCTTTTGCAAATAAATACAGTAACAGCTGTAAAGGAGACATAATTTAGAAAATTAGATAATTCATTTGCTATGGAACTCAACAAACTTAAACATTTCTAAATTATATTATTTTTCATCTGTACCCATTTTTAGAAAAATAGGCACTGTATGTTTAGTAATTCTTCCTTTTCTTTATGTAAAACTTGATTGTCTCATAAAATAATAGAAGATGTCCTTTTAAAGTATTTTAGATTCAGGAAATGTTAATAATGAAAAATTTGTTCTCTCAGTTTTAACTAAAATATTTTCCTTCTTTAGTTTGCAATTTTCTTTTCTTCTCTTTTTTCTATAAAGTTTTCATAATTAATTTTTAAATGTAATATTCAATCAGTTAAGTTACTTGCTTTAATTTGGCTTTGGACATGGCATTATAACATCTTTCAAATTTTATTCTATTTCCTGGGTGGTTGAGTTTAAAATAATCTAGAATAAGAAATTTTTAATACTATTTTGTACCAGTTGCAGATATGAGTATTTCTTTTTAAATTGTTTTGTTAATAATATTTTAATCTAACCATTTTACTTTAGTTTTTTTTTTATTTTGAGAGAATAAAACCAAACAAAATAAAACTGAATACAGTCGTAAAAAGAAAACAATGAACATGATACAGAACTTCAAAACAAGATAAAAGGCAATAATACCATAATGCCTCTTGTTATCTTCAAAATAACTGCCCATAGCAGGATCCCCTTTCCTTTGGATTCTGAGCACTCTGTTGGTTTTCTCCATGGATAACTATTAAGAATTAGAATCATAGAAAAATTAAAATGTTATCTGAATAAGCTAAGTTTCTAAGCTTAATCAGACTTGCAAATTAACACCTTAATTGTAATTTGAGATGACTGTTAATACAGGGTGACATTGATTGCTGTATATTTTTGCTAATATCTCTGTATGGTGCGTATCAACAGACACCGACATTATAATGTCTTCAAATTCCAAATTGAGTGCTCTTTTCTTCTTTAATTCACAATCAGGCTTAAATATATTAACTTGTCAATTATTACTGACAATTTAAGCTAAACTTTATTTTCTTTCACAGGAACACTGAGTAGGTATAAGTGGACCCTTGAAATCCAGGGAGGTTATATTCCTAGAGGCCCCATAAATTGTGAATAACTACAAATTTCATATAGAGTCAGAAAGATGCCTATGAATGTCTATTTTTATAGTTTGAACCTAAATGTGCTATGTCTCCCACAGTTATATAATTTAACTTAGTAAAATATTGTATTAATAAAGCCTTATAAGATGCAGGGCATATTGGCAACATTTTAAGGACCTTACTGTTTAAATATCTTCAAGCCCTGGCACTAGAAGGTCACAGAAGAAATGACATACATAGAGTCATCATCTCCTGAAACACAGTAGCCTTTAATGGAATGCCTCGCACTATTGCTGGGACCGTAAGTGTTACTCAGAATTATCTCTGCTAAATACTTGATCCTCTGAATGGCCCTATTTGCAAGTGGCATTGCCCATAAGAAGTGGGTCACAGGATTGTGGGGGGCATGCCCATGCAAGGGTTCACAGGACCCTAGCTCCTCCTTCTCCCTCTTTTTCACTTCCTGTCTATGATGTGAGAATTTTTGCTCTATCTCATGTTTCCTGCTATGATGTGCTGTCTTTTCACAGACTCAAAAACAGCAGACAAGCCCGTCACGGACTGAAACTTCTGAAACCATAACCAGCACAAATTTCTCTCCTTATACATAGATTATCTCATGCATTTGTTATAGTCACAGAAAGCTGACTAAAACATCTCCTAAAGGACATGTCTGAGGTTGTTTTATGTTAATTTTTGAATAAGTAGAAAAAATGAACTTTGAAGTAACACGAGTGATGTGGTTAATTTACAAATTAGAACATTTATTCTCAATATCAAATATTAGTCCTATGTATAATTGCATGTCTTGTGCTTTTTTACAAGTAGTGCCATGTAGCATGGTTGATTTATTTATACCAATATCATAGACTTGTGAGTGATGCATTGAGCTGTGATATGATGTACTCATGGCTATGACAAAAAGAAATCTTTCTTCCCTACTATAATTTTATGGGACTGTTATTGTATTTGTGCCCTGTCACTGAACAAATGATCAGTGTGCAATGCATGATTTATATTTCTCATTGAGTGATCTAGGCATTGCCTGTAGTAGATTTGTTCCAGATGTGAATTCCAAGCTTAGCGACACTTGGGAGTCTCAGAATTTCTCCTTATGGACTCAGTCTGTGCCTAGGCATATCAAGGGATGTGATGGGCCAGGAGTTGGAGGCAGAAATAGCATGGGCCAAGCCAAACCACTTCAGTACTTTTGAGTATCACAGAGATTACTTTGCATCTCTCCACACTGATGCTTTTTACCAGCAGAAGAAAGTCACATGACCAAATTAAAAATTAGTGGAGTGAGAGATGTGCTTCTTCCTTAGAGGGAGTGGGAAGAAGTGTGATGTTTGGTGAACAATATCTCCAAATACTTTCTTGGCTTTTGGAAGATTTATGTCTCAAAAGGACAGAGAAAATATTTATAATTTCAAGTTCCTTAAAATAAATACTATAGGAAAAGTGAAGCTAGGGACCTATATTCCCCAAGAAACCAGGCCGAATTTAGGATGAGAATAATTTCAGGCCTACTGCTTTGGTCACGAGGACTAGCAGACATGTGGTTAAAAGCTTCTGGGCAGTGTCCCCTCATAATTTCATTCTTCATTAAATAGTACTCTGCAGGCAATGTTTAAAATTATTTTGAACCATGCTTATCTAGTTGTATATTGCTGAATTTCCCAAAATATGAGTATTTTCTAATTTATATTTTGGTGTGTAATTTCAAGTTGTATTTCTATTAATTAGAGAATGTAATGATTTAATATCTGAGTTTTGCTTTAACAGTTATAAACATTCCATAAGCATGAGGAAAAAATGTTTATTTATAGTATAATTCATGAGTGTAGTGTTTTACATTATATGTATTAGGTCATACATATATGGTGTGTATGGTATTAGGTTAGTTGAGGGTGTTGTTGGCCAGACATGATAATGGATAAATATCACGTTTGGTAAAGAATCAGGGCTGACTGTAGATTCTTGCTTTAGATCTAAACTTCAGCTACAGGGTGAAGGTTGATGACATTTTCTGAGAAGACTCAGAAAGGAACTGGTTAGAAGAACATATCAAATAGATGTGCTAACTTTTGATGTCTATTTAACTGCTAGTAGAGATGCAAATTGAGCCATATAGGAGTTTGGAGTTCAGTGGACAGATGGATAGGAGACTGATGGAGGGATATAAATAAAAAATGACAATTAGAAATCTGGGTCAAATGAGGGTCAAACCTGGGAAGACTGTATATATTCTAAAGCATTTCACCTTCACAAATAGAACAGAGGAGGAAGAACAAGCAAAAGATGACAAGAACTAGTATTTAGTGGTATGGGAGAACTATCTGTGCTTTGGTAACAGTCAGGAAAAAAAATGTGTTTTTCGAGACAGAGTTAACTGTGGTGGTTAACTGTGTCTTAGATTTTTATAATCCAAGAGCCTTGATGGGAATAATTACCAAAAAGTTTTAAAACATTGATTCATATTTTTTGCTGGTAGAAAATGTATGTGTATATGCATTATTGTCTTTTTGAGACAGGGTCTCACTATGCAGTTCAAGCTGGCTCACTTTGTAGCCCAGGCTGGTCTCAAACTCACAGTGATCCTCTTGCCTAAGCCTCCTGAGTGCTGGGATTACAGGGTGTGCTACCACACCCAGCTGCTAGTAGAAAATTTAAAACTTTGTTTCACCATGAAAGAATGAATGAATTCACACATTTATTAATCTTCTATTGTATACAGGTCACTCGGGATATAAAGGTGACAGATCTTTTTACTTTGATGGAGTATATAGTCTTGGAGGGAATGAGACAAGCGAAAATAAAACAAAATCTGTGTAAAAGTTATGCATCAGTGCTCTGATATGGGCAAATGAAGATGGTGAGTTTGGCTGGGGAAAGTTTTCAGAGAGGAAAAGGTCCAATGGTTAATAGCTTGAAGAGTGCTGCTGACCCTTTTTAGGCAAATGTAGAAAAGAGTTTTAAGTAGTTGATTCTAAAGGCTCAGAAGTAAGATATTTAATGACATTCAGAAGACTGTACCAGCATCTTTGAGATGTTTAGAATTGTCAGTGTGTATTGAGAAAGTGCTGTTCCTGCATATGACTGCAGAATGACACTGGCTTTTTGCAGGTATCTTAGTTACTTTTTTCATTGTTGAAATACAGTACCCAATACCCACAATTTAAAGGAGAAAGGTTTATTTAGGCTCATAGTTTGTAGAGGTTTCAGACCATAGTTTGCTTGCTCTGAGGCAGGGGGCCATGGCAAAAGAGAAAGAATTCATGGTGTAGAAGGCATGAAACAAAGGGTGTGGATCAAGACAGTGGGAATGCTTCCAGGCATGCCCCCAGTGACCCACATCTTTGCATAGGTTTTACCTCCTGACATCACGCCTAACTATAAACTTATCAATAGACTAATCCAGTATCACATACCCGTGATACTGTCACCTCCCAAAACTCTATCTATGAGCACTTGAGGCTTCGGGGGAAAATCCAGATATAAACCATACCCTGAAGGAGGGGGGACCAGAGACAGCTTCGCCCGGAGCAGAACACAGAGGAGACGGGCATCATGATGGGCGAGGTTGGTTCCGAGATTCATCTAGAAATCAATGATCTAAATCTCACTTCATAAGAAGAAGCAGACAGTCCTTCAGACAGTGGACAAGGCAGTTTTGAAACAATTGAGCCTTTGAGTGAAAGAGATTCAGATGAAGAGATATTCACGAATAAGAAGTTGAAGAGCAGGAAGGTGATACAATACAGTGATTCTGAAACAGCGGACACAAATGCTACTCCAGAGGAAACTACCTATGACAGTGTTGAGAATGAGAAAGAGAACCTATATCCTGGAAAAAGTGGAAAAATCCAAAGGATTTACAAAACTCAAGCTGACAGTGATGAAAATAACACAGAGGAGTCTTTGTATCAAGAAAATCCTAAAACGCAAGTGACACCTTGCTTAGAGCTGAGTCTCCAATCTGGAAACTCTGTGGACTTTACCAATGACAAAAAGACTTCCAAAAAATCTGTACATGATAAAGAACAAACTGGCAGAAAAGCAAAAGTAAAATCAAAGAGAAGACTTGAGAAAGAGGAGAGAAAGATGGAAAAAATTAGGCAGTTAAAAAAGAAGAAAACAAAAGTGAGGAAAATGATGTGGAACAGCCATTGAATGACAGTGGCTGTCTTCTTGCAGACAAAGACCTTTTTGAAACGGGTTTGGAGGAGGGAAATAATTCACCATTGGAAGATGAAGAATCGTTAGAATCAATTAGGGCCTCTATGAAGAACAAAGTAAAAAATCACAAGAAAAAGGAATCATCTTTGGAGAGTGGGGTCATTTCCTTTGAAGAAGAGAGTGAGTTATCAAAAGGCACAATGAAAAAGGAAAGAAAGGCAGCCAAGTTAAGTAAGGAAGCATTAAAAAAACTGCATAGTGAGACTCAGCGCCTTATATGAGAATCTGCACTTAATCTTCCATATCATATACCTGCGAATAAAACTGTTCATGATTTCTTCAAATGTAAACCCCGGCCCACTTGTCAGGGAAATGCCACGGCACTGCTGAAGTCATCTAAGTATCAGTCAATTACAGACACTGCAAAAAAAAACTGAAATGAATGGTGACCACTGTAACAAAGGTTCTGAGCAGACGAGTACAGGATGTGAAATGGAAATGAATGAATCCCCAGTGGTCTCAAAGGAACCTCAGATCTTTACTGGATCAGATAAGACTTGTACTACAGATTTAGTGAGAAGTGAAGAACTGGAAAGTAAGGAAAAACAGAAACAGAATGATCATACACCTTCATCTGAGGACAGCGCAGTATTGCAACAGGAATCTGGTGTCCTCAAGAACACAAGTAAGGAGCATCAGATTGGAGGCGTTGTGACATCTGAACTGCATGCCCTGGTGGGAGAAGAAGGCCAGCTAAAAACAGAAGAAACAGAAGGGAAATTGGAAGAACCGGTACAGCAAACTAAATCATCAGTGGTACCTGAAAAAGTGAGAAGGTTCACTGGGGATAGATTGAAGCAGCTGGGAGTGGATGTTTCCATGAAAGCCCGGCTGGCTGCTGATAAAGATTCCTTCGTGAGGGCTGGGGATTTAGCTCAGCGGCGTAAGTGCCTGCCTTGCAAGCAGGCAGTCGTGAGTTCGATCCCCGGTACCGATAAAAAGGAAAAAGACCAAAAAAAAAAAAAAAAAAAAAAAAAAAGATTCCTTCGTGATACTTGATGAACCTGAAACCAACAGAGAGCTGGAAGCCTTGAAGCAGCGTTTCTGGAAGCATGCGAAGCCAGCAGCCAGACCCAGAGCTGGCCAGACAGTGAATGTGAACGTCATAGTGAAAGACTTGGGCACTGATGGAAAGGAAGAACTAAAGGCAGATGTGGTACCCGTGACTTTGGCAGCCGAGAAGCTGGAAGAAGTGAGCCATAGAAAGCCAGGTGAAAAACTGCAGGTATTAAAAGCTAAACTGCAAGAAGCAATGAAACTCCGGAGGATTGAGGAACGCCAAAAGCGTCAAGCATTATTTAAATTAGATAATGAAGATGGATTTGAAGAAGAGGAAGAAGAAGAAATGACAGATGAGTCTGAGGAAGACGGAAAGAGGAGATGGAGAGTGAAGAGGAGGAAGATGAGGTGGAGAAAGAAGAGGAAGAACTAGAGGAAGAAGACGAAGGCAATCAGACTGCGGAATTCCTTCTTGGTAATGAAGATATCGAAAGCAAAGATGAGAAAGAAATGGATAAAGAAAATACTGACAGCAGTAGTGAAATTGGGAAGTCAGTGGACCTCCTGTCTATACCCAAGCCTCTCTCATCAGATTCTACCTTACTTCTATTTAAGGACAACTCTTCCAAGATGGGTTACTTTGTTAGTGAAGAGAAATCAGAAACAGATGAAAACTGTAGCAAACGGCCTAGCAAACTGGATGAAGAAGATTCCTGTTCATTGCTAACAAAAGAGAGCAGCCACAATAGCAGCTTTGAGCTGATTGTCTCCACAATTCCATCCTATCAGCCTTGCAACAGACACACAGGCCGGGGGACCAGTTTTTTCCCAACCGCAGGAGGATTCAGATCTCCTTCTCCTGGGCTATTTCGAGCTAGTTTGATCGGCTCAGCTTCTAAGAGTTCAGGGAAACTGTCTGAGCCTTCACTTTCTATAGAGGATTCCCAGCATCTGTATAACGCCTCCCCGTAGCCCAAGACACTTTTCCTAGGAGCAGGAGATGACTTCCAGTTCTGCTTAGAAGATGACACTCAAAGCCAACTGTTGGATGCAGATGGGCTCTTAAATGTTAGAAACCACAGAAATCAGCACCAAGCTTTGAAAACTCAGCTGCCGCTGGCTAGTATGGATGAGAACGCCATGGATGCCAACATGGATGAACTATTGGATTTGTGTACTGGAAAGTTTGCATCTCAGGCTGAAAAATGTCCATCCAGGCAGAGTGACAAGAAAGACAACATGGAAGAACTTTTGAATCTTTGCTCAGGAAAATTTCCTTCTCAGGATGCCTCCCCTCTGGATCCCTTGGAGTTGAGCAAGCAGGAGAAGGAGAACAGCATGGGTGACCCGATGGAAGAAGCATTAGCTCTCTGCTCAGGCTTTTTCCCAACAGACGGGGAGCAAGAAGGTGAAGAGGGGGAATTTGGAGACTTTCGGCTCGTGCCTCATAACAGGGAGTTTGACAGTGATGAGGATGAAGACAGTGACTCTGGTAATGAAAATATGATATTGGATGACCAGGAAGATGATGATGAAGAAGAGCTCCTAAAGCAATCTGAAAAGCTGAAAAGGCAAATGACATTGAAGTATCTGGAGGATGAAGCAGAGGTATCAGGAAGTGACGTGGGGAGCAAAGAAGAGTATGATGGGGAAGAGATCAGTGAATACGAAGAGGATGCAATTGATGAAGTTCTTCCTTCTGATGAGGAACCGCAGAGTCAAATCAAGAAAATACATATGAAGACCATGTTGGATGATGATAAGCGACAGCTACGCTTATACCAAGAGAGATATCTTGCTAATGGGGATCTGCACAGCGATGGACCTGGGCAAATGAGGAAATTCCGATGGAAAAACATAGATGATGCTTCCCAGATGGACTTATTCCACCGAGACTCTGATGATGATCAGATTGAAGATCAGTTAGATGAGACAGAAGCCAGATGGAGGAAGGAGCGGATTGAACAGGAGCAGTGGCTTCGGGATCAGGCACAGCAGGGGAAGAGTACAGCTGAAGAAGAAGAAATTCGGGAAGACAGTCAGTTTATGATGCTAGCCAAGAAAGTTACAGCTAAAGCACTGCAAAAGAATGTCGCCCTGTGGTTATCCAAGAATCAAAATCTGTACTCAGTAATCCTTTTGAAACTATCAGATCTGGAACTCCTTATCAGCTGAAGACAGGCTCACTGCTAAACCAGTCCAAAACTATGCTTCAGAAACTGGCTGTCCTCTCAGACCTCAACCCTAGTGCTCCCCGAAATTCAAGAAACTTTGTGTTTCATACACTTTCTCCTGTCAAGGCTGAGGCAGCAAAGGAGTTGTCTAAGTCTCAGGTGAGGAGAAAGGGACCATCATTAAAGATATGCCTTTCCCCTAAGCACCTCAAGACAGGTGATAGCAGTCCAGGATTGAAGCGAAGCATCTTCAGATACTTGGAAAGCTAACACCATCAAGGATGCCAGAGTCTATCCAGAGACTGCTTAGTAACTCAGTACTGGAAACTGACAGTGGAGGTTGGAACTGATGCTCATGCAAATGATCTCTTCTTCATAATCAGTGGTGTGTTAAGATTGTAAACAGGATTCTAGTTTTTCTTCTGCTCGACTGTGGCTACCTTCCTTTCAGAGTATTTCCTGAATTGGTCACTAATCATAATTCTGTAGCTTCCAACATCAATATGGAACATGTAAGTGAATCCTCATGTATTTCATTAAACATTTGACATTTTATCCTAGCAGCTGTCCTGGATTTATACCTCTGTGGTAGAGATGGTTGGGAGGAAACAGGAAGGAAAAAAGTGTGGTATTACAGAAATTGGTAAAAGTCAGTATCAGAATGATGCCTTCATACTTGTGAGATCTCTACCATAGCAACCATAATTCAACAAAGAAGATTTCTTAGATGATGGACCTAGGGACCAACAGATGGACTGTCGTGGTAGTCTTACCCTTTCTGTTTTTCTTTTTTTTTTTTTTTTAATTTTTATTTATTTATTTATTTTTATCGGTACCAGGGATCGAACTCACGACCGCCTGCTTGCAAGGCAGGTGCTTATGCCACTGAGCTAAATCCCCAGCCCCATCCCTTTCCATTTTTCTATAGGCTTCTCAAGGCAGCCTCAAAGTTCTGATTAGCTTTTGCTGCCTTTGTAAGAAGGACTTTGACCCTACTTTTCTGAAGTATGAGGTGAAGATAAATGTCTGGCTGCATTAGATAATCTATGGAGCAGAAAGACCTCTCCTAGGACTGACTTCTCAATTCACTGATGATCAAAGACTTCCTTTCTTGAAGCATAACCATTACTTACTGCATCTCCTGAGTTTAATATACTGCCCTGACCAGAGGACATTTTAATACATCATTACTAATTAGAGAATTACCATCAATCATCATTTTTGCTGTAATTCCACCAGGCCCTCAGAATGTTAGACAGACTCCCTAGCCCTCAGAACTGAGCACCCTTGGTGTGTTGGAAAAGATTCTGTGTGAATATACTTTGAGCATCAGAGCTCGATAGACCTGGGAAGTTGAATGGGATCGTATCCGTTTTTTATTACGAGACAGGAATATCAATTTTAAGTGATCAAATGAGGGTGCAGGTTTTCTGCAGTTTTTTTTCCTAACATTCAAGATGTGGACTTTGAAAACTCACATTTGTAAATTTGTAATCTTGTAATGGGGGATATATGTGTAAAAATGTTTTAATATGTATGTCATTTTCCAATAAATCTCAATGACTTAAAGGCAAAAAAAAAAAAAATAAATTTCTTGTATTTTTGGCTAGATTCTCCAACCTATCAACACAGAGAAAGACTGTATGTATTAAGTACATAGAGGGGACAGTGAAGATGCAATAATCAATATGATAGTTATTTTAGAAGTAGAATCCATTTAATTTGGTGACTGATCAAATTTGGGTCTGTGGGCAAGTCAGGCAGAGTTGTAACTGCCATAGAAGTCACGTGAGGGTATCAGTCAGCCAGAAATAGAGAAATAACAGCTGGTGCCAGTCAGTGAGGGGTGTTAAATTTATTCTGGAAAAGGCTAAGTTTTAAAGATCTCAGTACAATGTCTAGAAAGGTAAAAATATAGATCTGGACTTCAAAAGAGATACTAAAGGTACTGATAGATTTGAGGATCCTATATTAATAATAATAAACATTTTTCAAGGATCGTTTCTGGAATAAAGAGAAAAGAAAACTTGATCAAGATATAAAATAAAATTTAAGGATTTTATACAGTTTATTCAAAATTATTTTGTTGTACAAACTATATCTGTATTTTATAAAGGTATTTTAAGGAAAGCAAGTGTAGTAATATAAAGAAATACATATTTTTAATATAATCAATGAGAGGATTTGGAAATTTCCAATTTATTTTATATATTATTTTGATCTGGAAATTTCTGAGTGTCAAACAATAGCATCAAATAAAATGTTTATTTTCAGTGTTTCCTTGATGATGTTATTATCTAATTTCAATTGCTTATTCTTTATGTCGTAATTAAATACTACTTAGAAAGTGATTGAATGGAAATAATTTTCTTTCCACTTTTATTTTTGATAAGTATGAATAACAATTTTTTTAATCAATTGACTTTTACAACCTACTAAATTGGAAGAATAGTTACCATTTCTTAAATACTTGAATTTGTGCTCCTTAGAATGATTTAATACAAGAAAAGGTTTTATTTCAGAATCTTGGTTTATCAGTTTGTATTTCTGCATACTGATGAAAATCATTTTAAAATAAATTTCTTCTTAAGTAAATAGAGACTGGCTTTACCACTTTACTTAATATTCTAAATGAATTTTACTATCCTTTAAATTCCTTTGCAGTAGCCATCTTTAAAAATTATTTGTAATTGTTATCTTTTTCTATCACAACTTTATGACATGGGTATTAGTAGTGTCATTTCACAGGAAGGAAATTGCAGCTCAAAAGTCAGTCTCAGTGCACACAGATAGTCAGGACAAAGGGGACCCTTCAGTCAGCTCCTCTCCCTCCAGGGCCAGAGGTAATTGATCATATGCAATTTCAAAGTGATAGCTACACTTTTGTGAAGTCATTTGTTTGTGTTGCTTTTGCAAATCCTTCTGTAACATCCACTGGTTAGGGACTTATACCGTGACAGAAAATGACTGGGGCATGGCTGATTATCTTGCTTCTGTCCCCCTCCACTCCCAACATAGTGTGAACTGGGTATAAGTAAAGGTCTCACATGAAATTGAAACTATGCTACATTTTGGAGAATATGACAAAGATAGATTATTTTCATCTCTGACAGTTTCTGGCTGATCACTGTGTCCCATGCCACAGAAAGGCCTGAATTATTCCTTTAAAGAAAAGACCGAAGCCAAGAATTAGTAGTCTTTGTGGCTGAACTGCAAGCATACACAGGTTGGTCTCTCATTTTTGAAGTAATGTTTTTATTAGGTCAGCTGAAAGACGTTCTCCTTGATTAGAATGCAAAGTAAGAAACAGCTCAGGATGAGAAGTGGAGCTTCAACCAGAAATGTCTCTTTTGAGCCTGTTCTCTGCATTTTCTCAAGTGCAAAACATTGGAAACTTTGTGCTTACATGTAATCAAGGACTATTTTGATTTTATGATACATAGCATCTGTTCTTCATAAGCTATTTTATATGCTCTTCTGTACACATAAATCATGAGCTACTTAATCATGATGATACATGCTGAGAAATGCATCATTAGCCAGTTTTGTCATTGAATGACCCTCAGAGAGTGTAAATGAACAAACCAAGATACTATAGTTCAATCACTAGATGCAATCAAGAGACACAGTAAACACGATATACATGAGAGCCCTCCAATGTAACAACACATAGGGTGCTAAGTAAACTGTTATACACAGAAGGAATATACTCTAATGGTACAGTGTATAATGTAGTAAACATACAAGTCGTTAACATGGTCATTAATTATTATCCAATATTATATACAGTATGTAACTTTATTATTCTTTTATATGACCATGCTAGCTAGCATCAACACAAACACAAGGAAGGCATTGGACTAGTTTTGATAGCTGTGGTGTCACTAGATGATTGAATTTTTTAAAAATTTAATTTAATTTTTTAAAAAAGGGTAAAACTAAACATAACAAAACAGAACAAAGCAGTTCAGAGGAAAACAATGCAAGTGACACAGATTTCAAAACAAGGCAACAGGATATCTACTGTGGTTACCATAATGTCTCTAGTTTTCTTCTAAATGGCTGTCTAGTCTATATCTTCACACACCAGGAATTCATACTAAACAAAATACTATAAAACTGATCAGAACAGGGTAATGAAGGCATTACAGGCTTTCAAAACCAGACAATAGGGAAATCAACATGGCTGTCATAATGTCTCTCATTCTCTTCAAAATATTGTTCATACCTTCATGTATATTGAAATTAAACAATACAAAACAAACTAAAACCACTGTGAACAAAGAATAGAAGCATTATTGGATTTCACAGTTTGATGATACAAAATCAGCAGTAGCTACCATAATGTCTGTTTTTCTTCAAAACAGCTGTTCATTTCATCACACATAATATAATATATCCTGATAAACTGTTTAGAAGTTCTAGGCATGTATAAGCCTCTACATGTATACCTATCCTTTCTGCATTAGAGCAAAAAACCAAAACAGATTACTAGAAAAATAAGAAACAAGAAAGACAAAAAATAACAATAGCAAAGAGCCCAAAACAATAACAATACAGGCCTTCAAAACATGGTGGTAGGAACAGAACTAAGGTTGATATTTTACATAGTGATCTTCAAAAGTTCCTCAGGTCACCTGACACAAACATGCAAAATTGTTCCAATCCTATGAATACTAACTGCTTTGTTCTACGAACTTACAGAATTTGTAGCACAATCACCTTTGCTATCCTAAGTGTGTTTATACAAATTTCAATATTTTTCTCTTTCCTCCCTTTTTCTTTTTCCTGCTTTTCCCTGAGATATTATTTTTTCCCTTTTGATCAGACTGTCATCCTTTCACTGTATTTACTGAGGATTTTTGATCTTATGTACTCTTACCATTTCTTTCACTAGGGAGACAATATGGTATTTACATATGTGATTTTGATTTATTTCACTTATGAATATGCTCTCAAGTTGCATACACTTACTTATAAATAAAGATAATTGGAATCTTTAAGCTGCTTTATAGTTTCATGAGATCCCTTTGTATACATACACATTCCACTATTTTGAATGCAGTCCACTGTTGACTATGATGTTTGCCATGTGCCACAGGACTATTTCTGTTTACATATTATTTCAAGATCTGGTGGATTCCCCCAAACAATGTGCTGTGTTGGTCAGTGTGAGCCACTCTTCAAACCAGGATCAACAAAGCTTGATGGATGTAGATGTTCCCTAGATGCAGTATGTTACTATCTCTTACAAAGTCAGGCTTACAGAAGTTTAAAGAATTTAGTGCTGTGTTCACTTGTAGATTCAGCATACTTCTATAAAAACACAGAAAATTAAATAAGTAGAATAATGATAGCAAGATGAAATTTAGTAGTTGTATAAGATACCTCATTTTCAGAAGACAATGAACAGCTGATTTTTATTAATAAAGGGAGAAGAGTAGCTTTAATTTTAATGTTATTAAACATCAGAATTAATTGTAATTCTTTAAGAAGTGGGAGCAAAATATGAAGCACTGTTCATGTTTGCTAATGACCAACAGTAAAATTCAATATATAAAAGAGAAAAATAATCAAAATTGTTGATTTGGTCTTTAACACCTTAATTCTGATACCTATGAATTGAACTACAGTAACCTACAGTTAACCAGGAGAGGAGGAAACAGACACGTGTGAGGTATTGAACTATACAGGCTATATAAAACAATTGTTCTAAATTTTTATATTTTGTTCATCATAGATTTTTGTCTTAGTTTACTGTTTTAAGTTGGTATATTTAAATATTTTTTATCCCAGTTTTGTTTCCACATGTCCTGATGTTTTACATCTGAGGTAAGTGCATTCCTGCATTTGCCCTTGTCCTGACCTGCACTCTATAGATTTGTAAAGTCAGTAATGAATTACATTTTTGTAGGAATATATCTCTAGGGACAGTTTTTATACTTAGCACAGTATCTTGATTGGTCATGTATATATACCTCTTTAACGTGTGGTTAAGGCAAAACCATGAACTATAATATCAAAAAGAGGAGGTTTAAGGATATCAGGACTGTAGAGAGTTGAGGAGAGAATTCACCTGGATGGTTTTGCACACAGCAAGAGTGCCTCTTTGACAGCTTGGTGAAAATAAAATTGAAACTCTATCAGGGTTGGAGGAGTCCATAACCTTACTTGTGCCAAACATTGTATTTAGATCAACACTGCCAAATCCTTCTGAAGCAATCCAGTGTTAGCACCTCATGGAATGCCTGGTTTACCTGGAGAAAGGGTCTCTTGGAGAATACAGTGACAGTATTCTTAAACTAGAAAGGCATACTGACCGAGTCAGTCATGTAGATAAGGAATAGCCCTCAGGCTCAGTGCTACCGTCAGAAGCTACTCAGGGGAAGTAATTAAAAGTCCTTTGAATCTTTTCTAAGGAGTCAATTTAGGTGGGATATTATCTGGGACTGAAAATACAATTAGTACTAGAATAATAAAATTTGCAATAAAGTATATTAAAAAGTATATCAAAGAGAATCAAGAAAATTTTTGTCTGAAAGTTTTGCTTAAATTCTGCCATTAGATTTTATTAACTTTATAAGGATGTGTACATAATACATATTCTTTTCAGTGTTTAGAATATAAAAGCCACCAAAAATAGTTAAAGATTGTGTATATAGCTTATTTGAATTTGCTTATAAGGATTAAATTGGGATTTTATAATCTAGATGCCACCATAAAGAGTATAGAAGTCCTAAGAGATAGTGTAGAAATAAAAATACAATCACAAATATTACCAAAATGTGTATATAAAGGGATGCTTGTAGATTACACAAGTGACTGAGACAGGCCTGGCTTATTAGTGACTTTCTATTTCTTAAGCTATATTGGATAATCTAAGATGTATGTGCAAAATAATAAATATGAAATATGGAGCACGTAATTTTA